CCCCAAAACCCCAAAACCCCTTGAATACGACATAGATAAATAAATTGAATAAAAAACATATATATAAAACAATGAAGAAAAAGATTTAATAATCGCAGGGAGTGTAGTTCCCCTCAACATATGCAATATCATCAAAGGGAAGCACACCTTTTTCTTAGGCACAGATCTTCCAGTAATCTGCTCCTCAAATTACTGTGAGTATGTCTCCAAAGTTTTCTCCTGCAATATCAATGTCAGATCTCAATAACATAAATCAATAACCTGAATCACTTAATCAAACAGTTTAAGACGACTTTATAGTTAATAAATCTCTAGCTAAATCCCAATCAGCACAAGGTTTACACACTAACCCGTTTAGCAAGACTCATACATATTTCAGTAATCGAGTTGTTCATCACTAAATAAATTCTAATCATCAGTAGTTCATGATTGGTGGAGGAACTTAAAATAATGTTGGGAACAATGTGAGTGCCAGTATGACTTCCAATGGATTTTAGAACAACAATATCAACAATATAACTAATGCTATGAGTATGTCTAATTTATTACCAACATTAACTGGACAACGAATCTAAAGTATGAAAACATCAAGTGTAGACAATAGATAATAAAAGGAAGTAACCCTTAAAGATAAAAATCTTAAACAACAGTAATTGCCATCGCTAAATAACATTAAATTGAGTATAAACAAGGGCAATGAGCAGTCAAGAAATCCTATTTAGATTTCTTAATTATAAAGTAAAATCGATTCAATAAATACCTTGCAAGCTAATATTACAATAGCAAATCCTGATTATTATAAAAAGTATCAGTTTCCCACAAAGTTATATACAAATAAACAGATACAAATATAAAATGACGAAATAAAAAATAGATTAAGATTTTAGAGACCTATAATATCTACTAAAATAAATAATTAAAAAAAACTCCTTAAAATAGCAAGCGAGTCCAAACTAAATTCAACAAGCCAAGAGTTTCAAATTGATGATAACAATAATACACTGCTTTAACCAGACTAGGATGTGTCTGTCGAAACATTTGGCATATCTTAAAGAATACAGTCTAGAAAACAATCTATCCAGCAAGTTGATAATTACGAAAAAATACAAATGTTTTATAACAAAAACCTAGATGGCAATAATGATAATTATTATATTGCAACAAATGTCTAAAATGGATAAGAAATGCTCTAAAGTCCGTTTGTTATAAAGGGACCAATTTTAAAGCAACAATACAATCTCAAAAAGCAAAGGGGAAATTAAGAGATATCAATTAATCGATAGAACGGAGATTCAAAGATTAGCATTATGGATGAAAATAAGGATATAAACCATCTCTCAGCTATTAATAATGAATAATCTCCTTTAAAATAAGGATAAAATATTTCACTTTTCCAAAATAGTGCTATATATGATGTCAGGTAAATGCAAAGAAATACGTAGCTAGAATCTTTAAAGGTCTCATAGAATTAAACCTTGAAGTCAGGAACCAAGCTTAACACTACAAGTTCATAGCCAGTACTAAGGTAGACTATAGCTCTAGAGTAAAAATCTGAACAGCAAAGGCTAAAAGAGGTATCTGAGTCTATTTAAAAAGATCAGAGAAGTCTTTTCATGATAAACAGACTTAAAGATTCTTTCTCGGAGAAGTTTACCATCTATTCTAAATCCACTTAAATGGTTTTTATGAATGACTATGAGAATATATTTAAGCTAATCAACAATCCTTTTATGGAAATGAGGGATGTAAAATGCGAGTTTCATTAGATAATGAAGAATCTTAATAAGGAAAATATAGGTTCAGTTGATTTAGACTCTGGTTAATGGAATGGTGTAGTATAACTTGAAGACAGGACAAGTTTCATAACTGAAGGACAGCAATATCCTATGGAGTTAATATGCTATGAAATATCAGGGTACTGCCTAAATTCAAATAAGAAATATATGAAACTGAATTCATGCTAGATTCCATTCAAATATTTACCATTTTTGTACTTTCTAAAGAATGAGGATATGCAAGAGGTCATAATGCAATGCATCAATGTTGTTGAAGAGGGAATAATTAGGCTTGATGAATAGAAGATGTATACCATGTTAAAGACATATGATCCAGTTCCACATAAAAATGAGATGAAGGAGTTTTGTTTCACTATTTACAGTAATAGCACTCATGGCAAAAGCACAAATCTTATTTCAGTCAAGTAAGCTTAAAATTTCTTTATTGTTAAAGGTTGCCCTATATCAAATTATTTAATTAGTTACTTCAGTTTGAAAAAGTTCTAAGTATCTCTGAAGTACATTCTCTCGCATGTAATTATAAGCTCGATAATTGTGAAAAGTTTGTAAGTATACTTGATAGTTTATATGTTAAAGTGTAATGACTATGTTCAATCTATGGAAAAATTTCAATTTTAAACTCCTATTTAACTTAAAAGCAAATAAGGCTTTGATTTAATTTAAAGAAAGATCTTTTAAGGACAGTATTATTAGCTCGTTAAGCATTAATCCTAAACAAACTCATACTGTGTATTTTTAAGGTATTGATAAAATGGTTTAGATATATTATTTTATTTAGACCAATGATGATTGAGGTATAATAGCAGGGGAATGAAGAATTCAAGACAGTAATTACTTTTGAGATACCTTTTTCAGAGATAATAAAGACATTCAAATACCTTAAGTCTAAGAGTTTCAATATGAATGAACTTCACTCTAAATTGATGCAGCTAACAACCATAGTAAAGGACTTAAATAAAGAAATTGTCAGAATCAAAATCGATTTCTTAAATTTACAGCCAATTTTGAAATACTAGCCTCAGACATCAAGACTGGACTATAAAAAGAGTCAGACTAGCTTATTGGACTCCTAATTTTTAGAGGAAGAAAGAAACAAAAACTTAGTTCCTAGTATTTTACTAGACAACCACATCAAGCTAAAATTCAACTTAAAAGACCCCGTTATTAAGTACATGTCAAGTTAAGGGCATACAAAAGAAGGCTAGGTCATTTAAAAGGAGTTGAAATGGACTGAAATCATACATATGATTGAGAGTAAATTTGAAAATTGGGAATCAAGTGTGTTTAATCCAAGTCATCTAATGTGATTGTAATTTGCAATTAAAATCATACATTTATACAAATCTTTAATCAATATACGGGGTTTTGGGGTTTTGGGGTTTTGGGG